GGGGGGGGGGATTTCTCAATTTACATTACATTTTGTCCCAATGTTGCAGATTCAACAATCTAAGGTAACATTTCTGTTGGACAGAAGTAAATTATTTCCACACCTGTTAGTATATTGTTTACTCCCATACCTGTATGTATGTATATCTATTCTATTTAAAATGAATACATCTCAATGTAGTGCATCATATAACCTACATTAAAACAGGGAGATAGAAATAGAAATAATTGCATTGGATGAGTACATGTAACATTTTTACATGTTTCAAATTTTGCTAAAACACATTTATCGAAAGCTTTTCACTCCTAACTGATAAATCTTGTACAAATTTTATGGAAACATTTCTTTATTTAGTGCTTAGAATCCTGAAAAATGAAAAAAAGGGAACACAAATCAATATAGTATGCAAATAAAGGTGGTGACCAATAGCTACAGGAGAAAACATAAGACCGGTCATGATTTGCGCACTACTTTGCAATATTTGGTTGTAAGAAGGGATCCCCAAAACCACTATATTTACCAAATAAAGGATAAAATATTTCTACAGTGTACTTAATCCAGTAGACTTGCTCTTCACCATCTTGTTATCAATGTTGCCTCCCAATGGGTCATTATCATTATCCCTTAAACAAAGGAACATTTTTTGGAGGATAGGGGCCCTTAATGACAAGCATTTTTATTTCAATAATTTTTGCCAAAATTTTATTTCAAAATTAAGATATTTCTTAACATTTTCTACTTTAACACAAACCCGTACATTTAAATGATACTTCTTCAAATAAAACAAAACAGAAGCACTGTCATTTACTAGAACTCTACGTCGCGGGTAATCTCAAGTTCGTTATCTGGCCTCCGATAACCCTAACACTGTGAGAGCAAAGATCTACTCCAAATCTTTCACATGATGAACTGTTCCATCATTTAGACTGTTCTTCATATCATCGTGTCATGAACCGTTTGTTATTTTTGAGGTCAATGAATGACGTCTGTGCCCGTTTCTCGAGGTCAGCGAGCTCCTTGACTGCCGGGGCCAGTGAATCCACGTGTCCTTGATAAGAGCTCCCTGTGAGAATAAAACAAAAATAGATAAAACATTGCTTGTCAGATTGAGAGGTCACCACATCATATATTATACTATGATTTAAATTTGCATTTGTTTGTCTCCCTTAAAATATCTAACTCATTCACCCCTGAAATTTCGTAATGAACTATTCCAACCTTTGAATTGGAAGGGTTCAAATGTGTCTTCAAGGGTGAATGAGTTTACTAAGCATTGTATAATGATATAAAACAAATGTTACTCCAAGTCCCAACAATAGGGACTTCAAGTGACATTTGTTCTATATTTTTATCTTTATTTCCCTTTGGAAATCATCTGTTGTTTATTACATCGTATATTGATTTAGAATTTATGTAAATAATATTTCTGAATTCTATCATGTCATCAACCAAAGAAATACAAATGTCCAAATTCATATTCACAAAGAACATCTATACATGTTTCTTAGTATGGAACTTTTTGTAAAGGAGATTCCTAGCTGTCACAATAAAGGTACCTAGCATACATCTTTACAAGCCTAGAACATATATACTAAATTGGCCAGTACCTCAACATGGGAAAATAGTGACTAGATGGGTTTACTATAAATATACATGGAACACATTAACATATATCTGTGGTTTAACAAATAATTTTATAATAATGTGTTTGCTTCAGATATTTTTTTTCTTAAATTTCAATATATGCAGTTATGTCTACCTGGGTATATGCAAGACCACACACTTGTGTTTTTCTAATGAAACAGAAAGCACAAGTTTATTGCGCGGACGAATATATTCACGAGTGCACGGAGCACACAAGTGAATATATATGTCTGCGTAATAAATGAGTGCTTTCTGACTCATTAGAAAAACACAAGTGTGTGGTCTTGCTTTTATCACATACCTTCTGTATTTAGTAGAGATCGATACAAAGATTTTATAAACTTATATATTCTTTGCAAATACTGGGAACTTTTCAGTTCGCCATGACAAGGGGATTCCCATAAAAAGTAGTTCCGGCTAGTAGGTAAATACAACATTTCCGTATTGAACATGTGCAATACAGAACGTTATATTTCATGGTCAGAAAATTGCTTGTATTACTATAGCCAGATTCAACAGGTATGTGATAAAAACTAGTATTTCACATTTGTTTTAGATTCAAACATATTTGATTAACAATGACCAGTCAAACAAGTCACCCAACTTACTAGGCCCTCTCCCAGAATATATTTTGAAAAGTTTTGATATCTTAAAAATAGAAACCTGGAATAAAATTGTTCTTTTGAAATGTGTAGTTAAAATTAGTACAAAGACACTTGACTGACATGTATATGACTAAACAAATGTTGGGAGATTGCAGTAAAGGTAAAACACTATGATAAAAGTTATGTTTTAAAGTGTATGACCTATTTAACAAAGCGTAGCTGAATCTAGTCATTATTGTACATATATAACAACTATTGTACATTCGCTTACAGCGTAGCCGAAATCAACATCGATTTTGTGGACAACTCGTACACATTTTACTACGCTTCACTGGTCATTTGTCTGATGAAGGTGACAGTGTACATATCGTACTAGACATCGAAACGTCACATAGAAATTTTTATTGGTTTTGTTAAAAACCCTTTTCATAGTATGACCTATGTCTTTATGGAAATGATAACAGCAATATGACACATATCAAATATTATATAGTTCTAGGGATAGGGCCAACGCAGTTTGTCTTATTTAGGTTTGGTTGGTTCTGTTTATCCCTTAGCTGGATATACCACCCGGTATGCAGGGCATTTGAAGAATAGGGAAACTAAGTATAGAAGTCAATCGCAACAAGCTCGGGATAAGATGGGTTTTATATATTAGGAAACGTCTACCGGTTTGGCCTTATAATTAACAGTGGGCTTCTGTCCTGAAGAAACCTATTGTTCTGGGGAAACCAGTAGACGTTTCCTAGTATATTGCGATAGACTTCTCCACTTAGTTTTCAAATATTGTGACACATCAGAATTACCTACTTTTTGATGATCCATTAAAAAAATTACCATATTGTCAAAGTAACCCTTGGTCACACCAATACATGGTTATAGGGATAAAATTATTTAAATCTTAAAAACAGAAAAATATCAAGTCTTTAAATATAATTAAGTTACTGTTATATTTTAATTATTACGAAGAACAATACTCAAAATAAAGTTGTTATACATTTACCTGCATTTTTCCTCTTGTTGCCATAAATAACTTTTCCATCAAACTCGTTAATGGGGACCTTGAGGTCAGGCTCAACTGTTTCTATGGTGATGTCCAGGTGTTCTTGGATGTCCAGCAAGAGCTTCAAAGAGAGAAAATATACGAAATTCAAATAAAAAATCCATGAAATTTAATTCAAAGTTTCTGGATAACAGAAGTATTTCACTTTGAAAGATTTCATTTTTGTTTTTACAAATATCAATATGAAATGTTTAATAATAATCATAATAATAATTCAAGGTTCTTATAAAATGCTTTAGCACAACCTAGTTCGTAGGTCTTCTCAAAGCGGCTCACAAAATAATTATCAGTGGTTATAGGGCCTTTGCAACCAGCACATATCTTTCTCAACTTCCTGAGAAGCATATGGCCAGGGCTGCCATTTCATCGTTCACAGCTAGCCTTCAACAATTCTAGCACTGCCCAACCACGTACTCATTTACAGCTGAGTAGACTTTAACAAGTGAAGTAAAGTATCTTGCTCAAGGATACAACACAGTGCCGTGCCATGACCCAAACCCGCAACCCTTCGGTCACGAGCCTGGCGTTCTACCACTAGACTACCGTGCCTTCAAAAATTAAACTTAACTCTAAAAGACAAAAAAGGAAACGTAACTCTTTCTGACAAAGTAAAATTTAAATTTCCTATCTTGGTCGGCATGATTTGTGATTTAAAGTTACCTATGCCCAACTTGTAGGAACATTAACCATAGTTGGTGAGTTTTGCCTTGTAGAGAGATATCTATGTTGGTCAGTGACTTTAATGTGAAAAGAATTATCTATCTTCATCAACGATGTTTGTGTTTTAGGGTTACACCTACCTTTTTCAGTCATGTTTGGTGTATTTAGAGTTACCTACCTTGGGCTCTTTGTACCGGATACAACAGCCACCGTAGTCAGTGAGGTTTGTGTTGTAGGGTTACCTACCTTTGGCTCGTCGTACCAGATACAACAGCCAACGTGGTCAGTGAGGTTTGTGTTATAAGAGTTACCTACCTTGGGCTCGTCGTACCGGATAAAGCAGCTACCGTAGTCAGTGAGGTTTGTGTTATGGAGTTACCTACCTTGGGCTCGTCGTACCAGACAAAGCAGCCACCGTGGTCAGTGAGGTTTGTGTTTTAGAGTTACCTACCTTGGGCTCGTCATACCAGATACAACAGCCACCGTAGTAAGTGAGGTTTGTGTTATAGAGTTACCTGCCTTGGGCTCATAGTACCAGATACAGCCGTCACTGTAGTCAGTGAGATTTGTGTAACAGAGTTACCTACCTTGGGCTGACGTACCAGACAAAGCAGCCACCGTGGTCAGTGAGGTTTGTGTTTTAGAGTTACCTACCTTGGGCTCGTCGTACCAGACACAGTGAGATTTGTTTTACAAAGTAAACTACCTCCGTTAGTATGTTTGTGTTTTAGAGTTACCTACCTTGGGCTTGTCGTCCCGGATACAGTAGCCACCATAGTCAGTGAGGTTTGTGATATAGAGTTATCTACTTTGGGCTCGTCGCACCAGATACAGCCGTCACTGGTTTGTGTTATGGAGTTACCTACCTTGGGCTCGTCGTACCAGACACAGTGAGATTTGTTTTACAAAGTAAACTACCTCCGTTAGTATGTTTGTGTTTTAGAGTTACCTACCTTGGGCTTGTCGTCCCGGATACAGTAGCCACCATAGTCAGTGAGGTTTGTGATATAGAGTTATCTACCTTGGGCTCGTCGCACCAGATACAGCCGTCACTGTAGTCAGTGGGATTTGTTTTACAAAGTAAACTACCTCCGTCAGTATGTTTGTGTTTTAGAGTTACCTACCTTGGGCTTGTCGTCCCGGATACAGTAGCCACCATAGTCAGTGAGGTTTGTGATATAGAGTTATCTACCTCGGGCTCGTCACACCAGGTACAGCCGTCACTGTAGTCAGTGAGATTTGTTTTACAAAGTAAACTACCTCCGTCAGTATGTTTGTGTTTTAGAGTTACCTACCTTGGGCTTGTCGTCCCGGATACAGTAGCCACCATAGTCAGTGAGGTTTGTGATATAGAGTTATCTACCTTGGGCTCGTCGCACCAGATACAGCCGTCACTGGTTTGTGTTATGGAGTTACCTACCTTGGGCTCGTCGTACCAGACAAAGCAGCCACCGTGGTCAGTGAGGTTTGTGTTTTAGAGTTACCTACCTTGGGCTCGTCATACCAGATACAACAGCCACCGTAGTCAGTGAGGTTTGTGTAACAGATTTACCTACTTTGGGCTCGTCGTACCAGACAACGCAGCCACCGTGGTCAGTGAGGTTTGTGTTTTAGAGTTACCTACCTTGGGCTTGTCGTACCGGATACAGTAGCCACCATAGTCAGTGAGGTTTGTGATATAGAGTTATCTACTTTGGGCTCGTCGCACCAGATACAGCCGTCACTGGTTTGTGTTATGGAGTTACCTACCTTGGGCTCGTCGTACCAGACCCAGCAGCTACCGAAGTCAGTGAGGTTTGTGTAACAGAGTTACCTTCCTTGGGCTCGTCGTACCAGACACAGCAGCTACCGTAGTCAGTCAGGTTTGTGTAACAGAGTTACCTACCTTGGGTTCGTCGTACCAGACACAGCAGCTACCGTAGTCAGTGAGGTTTGTGTAACAGAGTTACCTACCTTGGGCTCGTCGTACCAGACAAAGCAGCCACCGTAGTCAGTGAGGTTTGTGTAACAGAGTTACATACCTTGGGCTCGTTGACAAGATACAGCAGCTACCGTAGTCAGTGAGGTTTGTGTAACAGAGTTACCTACCTTGGGCTCGTCGTACCAGACAAAGCAGCCACCGTGGTCAGTGAGGGTTGTGTAACAGAGTTACCTACCTTGGGCTCGTCGTACCAGACCCAGCAGCTACCGTAGTCAGTGAGGTTTGTGTAACAGAGTTACATAATTTTGGCTCGTCGTACTAGACACAGCAGCTACCGTAGTCAGCGAGGTTTGTGTAACAGAGTTACCTACCTTGGGCTCGTCGTATCAGACACAGCAGCCACCGTATAGTCAGTGAGGTTTGTGTAACAGAGTTATCTACCTTGGGATCGTCGTACCAGGTAAAGCAGCCACAGTGGACTGTGAGGTTTGTGTAACAGAGTTACATACTTTGGGCTCGTCGTACCAGACAAAGCAGCCACCGTGGTCAGTGAGGTTTGTGTAACAGAGTTACCTACCTTGGGCTGTCGTACCAGACAAAGCAGCCACCGTGGTCAGTGAGGTTTATATAACAGAGTTACCTACCTTGGGCTTGTCGTACCAGACAAAGCAGCCACCGTAGTCAGTGAGGTTTGTGTAACAGAGTTACATAATTTTGGCTCGTCGTACTAGACACAGCAGCTACCGTAGTCAGCGAGGTTTGTGTAACAGAGTTACCTACCTTGGGCACGTCGTACCAGACACAGCAGCCATCGTGGTCAGTGAGGTTTGTGTAACAGTGTTACCTCCCTTGGGCACGTCGTACCAGACACAGCAGCCATCGTGGTCAGTGAGGTTTGTTTAACAAAGTTACCTACCTTCGGCTCGTCGTACCAGACACAGCAGCTACCGTAGTCAGTCAGGTTTGTGTATCAGAGTTACCTACCTTGGGTTCGTCGTACCAGACACAGCAGCTACCGTAGTCAGTGAGGTTTGTGTTATAAGAGTTACCTACCTTGGGCTTGTTGTATCGGATAAAGCAGCTACCGTAGTCAGTAAGGTTTGTGTTATAGAGTTACCTACCTTGGGCTCGTCGTACCAGACACAGCCGCTACCGTAGTCAGTGAGGTTTGTATAACAGAGTGACCTACCTTGGGCTCGTCGATCAGACACAGCCGCTACCGTAGTCAGTGAGGGTTGTGTAACAGAGCTACCTACCTTGGGCTTACCTTGGGCTCGTCGTACAAGACACAGCAGCCATCGTATAGTCAGTGAGGTTTGTGATATAGAGTTATCTACCTTGGGCTCGTCGCACCAGATACGGCCGTCACTGTAGTCAGTGAGATTTGTGTAACAGAGTTACCTGCCTTGGGCTCATCGTACCAGACAAAGCAGCCACCGTGGTCAGGTTGGTTTGTGTTTTAGAGTTACCTACCTTGGGCTGTCGTAACAGACAAAGCAGCCACCGTGGACAGTGAGGTTTGTGTAACAGAGTTAACTACCTTGGGCTCGTCGTAACAAACAAAGCCGCCACCATAGTCACTGAGGATTGTGTAACAGAGCTACCTACCTTGGGCTCGTCATACCAGACACAGCAGCCACCGTATAGTCAGCGAGGTTTGTGTAACAGAGTTAACTACCTTGGGCTCGTCGTACCAGACAAAGCAGCTACCGTAGTCAGTGAGGGTTGTGTAACAGAGTTACCTAACTTTGGCTCGGCGTACCAGACACAGCAGCTTCCGTAGTCCGTGAAGTTTGTGTAACAGAGTTACATACTTTTAGCTCGTCGTACCAGACACAGAAGCTACCGTAGTCCGTGAGGTTTGTGTAACAGAGCTACTTGGGCTCGTCGTACCAGACAAAGCAGCTACCGTAGTCAGTGAAGTTTGTGTAACAGAGTTACATACCTTGGGCTCGTTGACAAGATAAAGCAGCTACCGTAGTCAGTGAAGTTTGTGTAACAGAGTTACTTACCTAGGGTTCATTGACAAGATACAGCAGCTTCCGTAGTCAGTGAGGTTTGTATAACAGATTTACCTACCTTGGGCTCGTCGTAACAAACAAAGCCGCCACCATAGTCACTGAGGATTGTGTAACAGAGCTACCTACCTTGGGCTTACCTTGGGCTCGTCGTACAAGACACAGCAGCCATCGTATAGTCAGTGAGGTTTGTGTACCAGAGTTACGTACCTAGGGCTCATTGACAAGACACAGCAGCTACCGTAGTCCGTGAGGTTTGTGTAACAGAGTTAACTACCTTGGGCTCGTCGTACAAGACACAGCAGCTACCGTAGTCAGTGAAGTTTGTGTAACAGAGTTACATACTTTTGGCTCTTCGTACCAGACACAGCAGCCACCGTGGTCAGTGAGGGTTGGGTTTTAGAGTGACCTACCTTGGGCACGTCGACCAGACACAGCAGTGGGCTCGTTGACAAGATAAAGCAGCTACCGTAGTCAGTGAGTTTTGTGTAACAGATTTACCTACCTTGGGCTCATCGTACCTGTGTAACAGAGTTACCTAACTTTGGCTCGGCGTACCAGACACAGCAGCTTCCGTAGTCCGTGAAGTTTGTGTAACAGAGTTACATACTTTGGGCTCGTCGTACCAGACCCAGCAGCTACCGTAGTCAGTAAGGCTTGTGTTATAGAGTTACCTACCCAGACAAAGCAGCCACCGCGGTCAGTGAGGTTTGTGTAACGGAGTTACCTACCTTGGGCTGTCGGTTATAGAGTTACCTACCTTGGGCTCGTCATACCAGATACAACAGCCACCGTAGTTAGTGAGGTTTGTGTTATAGAGTTCCCTACCTTGGGCTCGTCGTACAAGACACATCAGCTACCGTAGTCAGTCAGGTTTGTGTAACAGAGTTACATACTTTGGGCTCGTCGTACCAGACCCAGCAGCTACCGTAGTCAGTAAGGCTTGTGTTATAGAGTTACCTACATTGGGCTCATCGTACCAGACAAAGCAGCCGCCGTGGTCAGTGAGGTTTGTGTAACAGAGTTACCTACCTTGGGCTCATCGTACCAGACAATGCAGCCACCGTAATCAGTGAGGTTTGTGTAACAGAGCTACCTACCTTGGGCTTGTCGTACCAGACACAGCAGCCACTGTGGTCAGTGAGGTTTGTGTAACAGAGTTACCTACCTTGGGCTTATCGTCCCAGACAATGCAGCCACCGTAATCAGTGAGGGTTGTGTAACAGAGCTACCTACCTTGGGCTCGTCGTACCAGACACAGCAGCTAACGTAGTCAGTGAGGTTTGTGTAACAGAGTTCCCTACCTTGGGCTTGTCGTGCCAGACACAGCAGCTACCGTAGTCAGGGAGGGTTGTGTAACAGAGTTACCTACCTTGGGCTTGTCGTCCCAGACACAGCAGCTACCGTAGTCAGGGAGGGTTGTGTAACAGAGTTACCTACCTTGGGCTTGTCGTACCAGACACAGCAGCTACCGTAGTCAGGGAGGTTTGTGTAACAGAGTTACCTACCTTGGGCTCGTCGTACAAGACACAGCAGCTACCGTAGTCAGTCAGGTTTGTGTAACAGAGTTACCTACCTTGGGTTCGTCTCACCAGACACAGCAGCTACCGTAGTCAGTGAGGTTTGTGTAACAGAGTTACCTACCTTGGGATCGTCGTACCAGACACAGCAGCTACCGAAGTCAGGGAGGTTTGTGTAACAGAGTTACCTACCTTGGGATCGTCTCACCAGACACAGCAGCTACCGTAGTCGGTGAGGTTTGTGTAACAGGGTTACCTACCTTGGGCTCGTCGTACAAGTCACAGCAGCTACCGTAGTCAGTCAGGTTTGTGTAACAGAGTTCCCTACCTTGGGATCGTCGTACCAGGTAAAGCAGCCACAGTGGTCTGTGAGGTTTGTGTAACAGAGTTACCTAGCTACCTTGGGCTCGTCGTACCAGACAAAGCAGCCACCGTGGTCGGGGAGGTTTGTGTTTTAGAGTTACCTACCTTGGGCTTGTCGTACCAGACACAGCAGCTACCGTAGACAGGGAGGTTTGTGTAACAGAGTTACATACCTTGGGCTCGTCGTACGTACCAGACAATGCAGCCACCGTATTCAGTGAGGTTTGTGTAACAGAGTTATCTACCTTGGGCTCGTCGTACCAGACAAAGCAGCCACCGAGTGAGGTTTGTGTAACAGAGTTACATCCCTTGGGCTCGTCGTACCAGACACAGCAGCTACTGTAGTCAGTGAGGTTTGTGTAACAGGGTTACCTACCTTGGGCTCGTCGTACAAGACACAGCAGCTACCGTAGTCAGTGAGGATTGTGTAACAGAGTTACCTACCTTGGGTTCGTCTCACCAGACTACCTTGGGCTGTCGTACCAGACAAAGCAGCCACCGTATAGACAGTGAGGTTTGTGTAACAGAGTTACCTAGCTCCCTTGGGCTCGTCGTACCAGACAAAGCAGCCATCGTGGTCAGTGAGGTGTGTGTAACAGAGTTACCTCCCTTGGGTTCGTCTCCCCAGACACAGCAGCTACCGTAGTCAGTGAGGATTGTGTAACAGAGTTACCTACCTTGGGCACGTCGTACCAGACACAGCAGCCATCGTATAGTCAGTTAGGTTTGTGTAACAGAGTTCCCTACCTTGGGCTCGTCGTCCCAGACACACCAGCTACCGTAGTCAGTGAGGTTTGTGTAACAGAGTTACATACCTTGGGCTCGTCGTACCAGACAAAGCAGCCACCGTATAGTCAGTGAGGTTTGTGTAACAGAGTTCCCTAGCTACCTTGGGCTCGTCGTACCAGACACAGCAGCCACCGTATAGTCAGTGAGGTTTGTGTAACAGAGTTACCTAGCTACCTTGGGATCGTCGTACCAGACACAGCAGCTACCGTAGTCAGTGAAGTTTGTGTAACAGAGTTCCCTACCTTGGGCTCGTCGTACCAGACACAGCAGCCACCGTGGTCAGTAAGACTTGTGTTGTAACAGCCTCTTCCACGGTTATTACAGTTGGAGTGGTACCACACCTGCAAACATTTTTTTATTTTTTTATTTTTAAATTGTATTATGACACAAGTACTGGTACCATCAAAAACACCTTAAATTTAATAGACTTGCTTCCTCTATCTAAAGCGAGAAATCATTAGGATCCTCCATTGACATATGTAGTTATTTCATTCCTGTAACACTTCAAAATATCCTTGACGACTCGTGTTGGCATTATAGAGTTGTTAAGACATTTTTAGCTGTCATAAAAATGCGTGAACACAGAAACCATAACCTGTTTTACTTCTATTTTCTGAAGACCTTACATATTGTTTGACTTGAAAATTGATTTGAAAATAATTAAAAGAAATGGTGGTTTTAAAGAACGACATGCTGTTCTTGGCAGAAAGAAGATAATTAAAATTGCCCTAAACTTTTGCCTTCAAGGTCACAAACGATGTCAATACATTTCAGAACCATTGCAGAAAACGGTGGCCAATTACTTTTCTTTTAACCCTTTCACCCCTAGGTAACTTTAGTAGACTCTACCGTACATTGATCTGGATGAGTCAATTATGGTCTACAGTGGTGAAAGGGTTAATCTTATTTTCTTGCACAAGAAGACAATCTTTCAGAGATAAATTCAGTGAAACTGAGTTAGGTCAGATATATACTGTATCCCAGAGGTGTCCTAGATTAATTTTACCCCTAGATAATTTAACCCTGGTTTTGTTTATTTTACAAATAATTGTATTATAATCAGGTTAATGTCTTCTACCTTTAATAAACATACAAAATCTCTACAGATCTCTTTTTTGCATTTTCTGTTTAGTTGGTAAAAATGAAAATGTCTTATAATTTACAAAAGAACATATCTGATTGCAACAGCATTGCTATTGTTCCCTACCATAACACATGTAGTTTGAAGGATTTGAAAACAAAATAAGCATAGAATCAGTGATATTCAAACCAAAGAACTTGAGATGGCACAAAACACATATGTTCATGAGAAAATTAATTTAACTCATTCACCCCTGCAATTTCATAATGAACTATTCCAACCTTTGAATTGGAAGAGGTCAAATGTGTCTTCTGGGGTGAATGAGTTAATTTTATCTTATGTTTTTCATGAAATTTCTGCAAGGTTTATTTATCTTTACAGAAAAGATTTATTAAAGCTATATTGTCATGCCGTTGAAAACACTTTTTCCCATTCAGTTTTAGGTCAAGTATTTTGCTGTGGTACAGGGGTCCTGTAGTGTATGCTGTATAATACTTATGAAATGGAATAAAGGGCAATAACTGCTGTTAATTTAGTACAGGAAAATAGCATTGCCAGCAAATCATCCCGATGTAAATGTGATATAAAATTGAGAGAAACAGAATTGAATGTGATCTGTCAAAACATATTAAAGGAGAAATTTGGACATGGTACATATATAGCTACATGTTTTCTGAAGTCGAAAAAAAGTCCAAAATCTCCAGTAAAAATACAGAAGAAAAACGGTAGCAGTGCAATTGTTCTCATTATGCTGATAAATGGTATACAAAAATTGAAAGCAATCTGTCAAACAAGTTTCGAGATGTTACTCCAGAGAGACGAATAACTTTACAATTTCTAGCCACAGCATTGCAATAGGGGACCATAATCACGCTTCTGTTGTTACACCAATCCACCAATTTTATGTTACATTTTTATTGAATTTTTATTCCTGTATCCTCGGTACTCCAGGGTTACAGTCACTTACGCTCTCCGCACCCCTGGAAGATGTCATAGCAAAATCAACGACTCAGTGTGTACCACCATGTGGATGAGATCATAGAAGACTAGTTTGTTCCTTTGATGTACATTAAAAGAATCTGTTAGTCGCATAACAGTAAAATTGACTGGCTTTGAAGTCGGGTGTTGCGCACGCTCCTCTGTAATCTTCAAAGGACAGGTATCAGCCTTAGCGATTGGTCAGGTTTTTTTATCCTGAGACCAATCAAATATCGTAACCCCTGGAGTATCGAGGATGCGTTTACAGTATATATCATTGATGAAAATGAAGTGAATTCTTATACTTTGTACCTGCAATACTGAAGCATTTTTGTGCACTGTGATAAAATATTTCTCATAACATCACAGTTACTGAATATTAGACTTCCCCCCCCCCCTTTTTTTTATTGTTTTTGGTTGGACTGTCCATTGGAAGATTGAGAGTGACTAAATTATTTTTGAAGACTTACCTTTTCTTTAACAGTGGAAACAAAAGAGATAGCGAGTCCCATCCTGCAACGAGAAATTAACCATGTTTGTGACAAAACCTTACAATTGGTACGATCACACGCCAAAGTGTCACAGACAAGCTGAGGTGTGACAGGAACAAATAAAATACATTTCTATTACGTTTTATTTCTAACTAAATATGGGAAACTACGAAATAAATTACTTTCTGTGCCGTACATTTTTTGTACACAAAGATTAATGCACTGTCTGTACAGCTTCCAGTAGAGATTCTTTAAAACTGTTCAAAACCAATAATTGATGAACAAAGAAACCACATTTGGCATCAGAAACAGGGTCTTTAAATGCTGGACCAATAAGGATGGCGTTTAAATTGTATTATGTGTCTCTGGTAGTTCTTTTTTTTACTTTGACATTCTTAAATGCTTTTTAGCATGTATTTCTTTGCTTTTTATTTTTGCAAATTGTCTTTAATTTGATAAAGAAAGAGTTTTCTTCAACTAATGTAACTGCAGAGACAGCGTAACCAAACATTTAAAAGAAATTTGAGACAGAATTAGGGTATTGCTTAAAACGATTTAAGCTTTTTTCATAAACAAGGTTCTGGTCATGATCGAGTTCAGTGTCTTCTATCAGGATCTCGGCTTTGATTTCTCAAGTGATAACATTTTTTTACTGTGCCGCACCCCCTCCCTTCCATCCCCCCTCCACCAGTGCTGTTATCTTCATTTATACAAAATTAATCAAATTGGGCCAAGAAATGTTAAAACCTAACACAAGGTCCCTTTAACTTTTCAGGGCCACAGTGGCCGAGTGATTAAGGCGTCTGACTGTCTATGATAACAAGCCCTCCACCACTGGGTCGCAGGTTTGATATCTATGTGGGGCAGTCGCTAGTTACTGGCCACAGGTCGGTGGGTTTTTTTTCTGGGTTATCCGGCTTTACTCTACCACCAAACCAAAATCTGACACATCCTTTAATGACCGTGGCTGTTAATAGGATGTAAAACACATTCAAACTAAACTGCAGTTACCATTTTTCATCTTTTACACCTCTCTCATAAAAAGAAACAATTATGATGGTATATTTTCAGCTCTACCCACACAACCAATTCTATGGATCCTTACCTTTCAGCTCTACCCACACAACCAATTCTATGGATCCTTACCTTTCAGCTCTACCTAGGCGACCAATTCTATGGATCCTTACCTTTCAGTTCAACCCACACGACCAATTCTATGGATCCTTACCTTTCAGTTCTACCCACACGACCAATTCTATGGATCCTTACCTTTCAGCTCTACCCACACGACCAATTCTATGGATCCTTACCTTTCAGTTCTACCCACACGACCAATTCTATGGATCCTTACCTTTCAGCTCTACCCACACGACCAATTCTATGGATCCTTACCTTTCAGCTCTACCCACACGACCAATTCTATGGATCCTTACCTTTCAGCTCTACCCACACGACCAATTCTATGGATCCTTACCTTTCAGCTCTACCCACACGACCAATTCTATGGATCCTTACCTTTCAGCTCTACCCACACGACCAATTCTATGGATCCTTACCTTTCAGCTCTACCCACACGACCAATTCTATGGATCCTTACCTTTCAGCTCTACCCACACGACCAATTCTATGGATCCTTACCTTTCAGCTCTACCCACACGACCAATTCTATGGATCCTTACCTTTCAGCTCTACCCACACGACCAATTCTATGGATCCTTACCTTTCAGCTCTACCCACACGACCAATTCTATGGATCCTTACCTTTCAGCTCTACCCACACGACCAATTCTATGGATCCTTACCTTTCAGCTCTACCCACACGACCAATTCTATGGATCCTTACCTTTCAGCTCTACCCACACGACCAATTCTATGGATCCTTACCTTTCAGCTCTACCCACACGACCAATTCTATGGATCCTTACCTTTCAGCTCTACCCACACGACCAATTCTATGGATCCTTACCTTTCAGCTCTACCCACACGACCAATTCTATGGATCCTTACCTTTCAGCTCTACCCACACGACCAATTCTATGGATCCTTACCTTTCAGCTCTACCCACACGACCAATTCTATGGATCCTTACCTTTCAGCTCTACCCACACGACCAATTCTATGGATCCTTACCTTTCAGCTCTACCCACACGACCAATTCTATGGATCCTTACCTTTCAGCTCTACCCACACGACCAATTCTATGGATCCTTACCTTTCAGCTCTACCCACACGACCAATTCTATGGATCCTTACCTTTCAGCTCTACCCACACGACCAATTCTATGGATCCTTACCTTTCAGCTCTACCCACACGACCAATTCTATGGATCCTTACCTTTCAGCTCTACCCACACGACCAATTCTATGGATCCTTACCTTTCAGCTCTACCCACACGACCAATTCTATGGATCCTTACCTTTCAGCTCTACCCACACGACCAATTCTATGGATCCTTACCTTTCAGCTCTACCCACACGACCAATTCTATGGATCCTTACCTTTCAGCTCTACCCACACGACCAATTCTATGGATCCTTACCTTTCAGCTCTACCCACACGACCAATTCTATGGATCCTTACCTTTCAGCTCTACCCACACGACCAATTCTATGGATCCTTACCTTTCAGCTCTACCCACACGACCAATTCTATGGATCCTTACCTTTCAGCTCTACCCACACGACCAATTCTATGGATCCTTACCTTTCAGCTCTACCCACACGACCAATTCTATGGATCCTTACCTTTCAGCTCTACCCACACGACCAATTCTATGGATCCTTACCTTTCAGCTCTACCCACACGACCAATTCTATGGATCCTTACCTTTCAGCTCTACCCACACGACCAATTCTATGGATCCTTACCTTTCAGCTCTACCCACACGACCAATTCTATGGATCCTTACCTTTCAGCTCTACCCACACGACCAATTCTATGGATCCTTACCTTTCAGCTCTACCCACACGACCAATTCTATGGATCCTTACCTTTCAGCTCTACCCACACGACCAATTCTATGGATCCTTACCTTTCAGCTCTACCCACACGACCAATTCTATGGATCCTTACCTTTCAGCTCTACCCACACGACCAATTCTATGGATCCTTACCTTTCAGCTCTACCCACACGACCAATTCTATGGATCCTTACCTTTCAGCTCTACCCACACGACCAATTCTATGGATCCTTACCTTTCAGCTCTACCCACACGACCAATTCTATGGATCCTTACCTTTCAGCTCTACCCACACAACCAATTCTATGGATCCTTACCTTTCAGCTCTACCCACACGACCAATTCTATGGATCCTTACCTTTCAGTTCTACCCACACGACCAATTCTATGGATCCTTACCTATCGGCTCTACCCACACGACCAATTCTATGGATGTAGTTCTGTTTCTCATCAGGAAGAGTCACATTGATCACTGTTAATAAAACAGAATTTTCATTAGCATTAAAAAAAAAATGGTATTACTTACAATAACATTTCCTTATTGAATATAACGGTATTTACATCACCAAAAGTGAGTTTGTTTGGTGGGTAAGGGAAAAGCAATTTTGAATGTTTCTTTTTTTCTTTTCAGTGTAATGTTTTTGTGTTTGGGCTGGAATAAAATGCTTGGCTTGATGCCTTTATCTTGTCAACTGCGATTGATATGGAATATTAAATTCCCCGGTTGCAGTTGTTGGAAGCAGAGGAAGGATTGTGGGGGAGGGGGGTAGGCTCATGTAAGGTCTAAAACTAGAAAATGTCCTGTATGACATAAAAGTCTCTAGCTCCTCTGAAAATAAGTGTCATTTCCTTTTGGAAAATTTCCATATACCTGGTATAGTAAAAGTGACCTTTGACACAAGTTCCTGAAATGAACTGAGTGGATGGAGCAATGACAGTGATTCAGGTTCAGGGTGGAATGGGATGGACATTGGTAATACTATATGCTATATGCTCCTTCATTACATTGGGTGGTTGGTTAACGCAGCAGATAAAGACACTCGCATTTCACTAAGGCGGCCGGGGTTCATTTCCTCACTAGCATATGAAAGGGTATATATGGGGTAACCTGCCCGACCACATGGGTTTTCTCCGGGTACTCTCAAGGTATCCTCCCACTTTAAGACCCCACCGTAAAGCTTTGTAGTCTTCAAAACGCCTTTTATTATGGCTTGCAATTGGTTAAGTTGAGTGAATATTTCATGTATTGCTTTGAGCAAAACAGTGTTTCAAAAAACATCTTTTTGCAGGTGAGGGACAGGAAAGACAAACATTTTGCATGACAATATTTCGTATCTGTGGTACAGAAATATATATCAAGCTATGAAAAAGCACCAGAATATATAAACTCATTCCACATTTCAAAGAGGGAGAAAGTGCGTGAAATACAAGTGAAACTGCCTTGCTCAATTATTATTTCCCTTTTATGTATCAAAACAACTCCAAAAAGCATTCGCTTGATTCAGACGCACCTGTTATGATAATAACACACCCTGCAGTAACTAGGAGATCATTTGACAACAGAATGTACTTGAATGAGAAAGTTTCGAGGGAGATTGGGTAAATTTTGGTCAAAAGGAGGGAATTTCCCTCCGAATGTTTGAGGTGGACTGTTTGAAGCAGTCACTCAGAAATAGAAATTATGTTAAGCAGAAATAGAAATTATGTTAGATATCAACTTACCACATTGTAGCCCGCCTACATCTATGCCTCTTGCTGCTACGTCGGTACATATCAGATACTTAACTCCCTTGTCCTGTAGTAAAAAAAAAAAAAGTTAGCGGAGACAACTATCAACAACAACCAAAGTAGAATTTTTTTAACATGAAAGTCAAGCAAATGTCAAAGTTAAACACTCTTGTGCACAGTATTGCAGTAAAAACAGAAAACCTTTAAGTGTCAAGCCATAAAAACAAAAATTTACGAAAACACATCAAGTTCGCCTTTTTTGCCCTGTCTTAAAGTTAAGAAAAAGGAAACCATTAGTGTCATCCCTATAGCTATAACCATTCAAACAAACAAGGAGTGAAGACAGAAAATTACACTATTGTGTCCATTTTCGAGTACAGCTATAGAACGTAGTGTCAATCCAAAAACTATAACCATTAGAATGTGAAGTTGTGCAAAGACACTCCACAACAAACTTTGAACAAGGGGCTATAACTCTATAATAAAGTGTGGAGCAAGACAATTAGGGCTCATATTTATGAAAATGTTCTCATGCTTAATAAGCATGGTTTTAATGCTCAAACTGAATTTCTCCTGACTCACTAAATTTATTCGATGTTGTCATAAATTCAACAGCAAACATTGAAAAGAATAATGGGTGTTAAGTATCTCAAAAGTTCTTCAAAATTATTTGATTGACAAATATGTTGATTTTAATAAATTTATAACAGAAGCAAGGTATCGGTGTTGAGCACAGAATCTGAGTTTGAGCATGAAAAAAGTTTAATAAATATGGGCCCTGATTCTGGAATGCGAAATTCAACCATCTTAAGATCAACAAGCATATAAAATTGATAATTGTGGGTGACAGGGGATAGATGTTATACAGAGGACAAAGTGAATTACAGTGAACAAAGGGGCTATAACTCTGTAAATACAGAGGACAATTTTAATTCGCTACACTCCATCATCCCAATAGGTTTTCACATGCAATGTTTGGTGATCGTGGGTGACAAGAGTATTTGAGATAAACACTGGACTTTAAGCAATGTGCAGTGAACAAATGGCTGTAACTCTATATTTACTAAGATGGGCAAATTTCATTCGCTACACTCCATCATCCCAATAGGTTCTCAAATGTGAAATTTGGTAACTGTGGGTGACTGAGTACTTGGGATTTACATAAGACATATGTATGAACAGCAAACAAAGGGCTGTAACTCTGTATATACTTAGTTTGGTCATCTTAATTTGCAACACTCCATTATCCCGATAAGGTCTCAAAAGAGATGTTTGGTTACATGGATAACAGAGTATTTAAGATATAAAGAGGACTTAAAGCTATGTACAGTGAAAAAGGGCCATAACTCTGTATTTCATTTGCCATTTCGCAGTACGCTGTCATCCCTGTAGGTTCTCACATGCGATATTTGGTAATTGTGAGTGACAGATTATTTTAGATATACACTGGACATTTAGTTATTACGTTCAGTGAACAAAGGGCCACAACTCTGTATATTATATGGCGAGTAATTTTAATTCACTTCTCTGCATCATACGAACAGCTATTCACATGCAAAATTTGGCTAATGTGGGCGAAAGAGTGCAGTATTGAGATAAACTGACACAAAGAATGACAGTCTGATGGACAGAAAGCAAACCGATTGTACCCTCTGGTAGTACCAGTCAAGGAAAAATAATTGCATTACTTTCTACAGAAATTTTTATGTCTCCACTTTTTGCCTATAATCCGGGATAACAGGCGACAACAGGTTCAGATATTGTGGTCTAAACATCACTAGAACCAAACCCGATAAAATAGCAAGGGAATATCAGATCTACCACCAGCCTGAAAGCCGAAAGTGATCAAGATATAAAATGCATATGTATTTTTCAAGTCTTACCATAAGTGTCATAAAAAAATCCTTTTATTGCAAGTGATTTACAACTACTAGACATAAAAAAAATATGTTACCTTAAATTTCTGTAAATTGGCCTTTCTTTCTTGTGGTTTACGATCACCGTGTAGGCAAACACAGGAGAAATTACGACCTGGAAAATGAGAAAAAAAAAGTTTTATAAAATCCGGTATAAAGCAGCGAATAAAATGAGATTACTCTTGATTTTCACATAGTTCTATTTGCAAGGGAATCTCGTTATCATCAAAGAATAGGAGGAAAGTTTAAATGAAAATATTTTTTTATCAGGAATAAGAAAACATAAAAAAATATATTTGAAATTGATAAACAGGATTTTTGCCTTTCTGGAATTGCCTTTTGTCAAAGCACAACTTTTCAACCAACATTTTCAAAAGATTAGCACGGCATTTTCAATACATTTCATGAACAGTCCATGAATTTTAAGAAAGTTGACTTTACAAGATTTTAATGCATAAAAACTTTAAACGTTGAAATGCTGCCTCAAACTAATGGAATTCGAAGCGATAGAATAAGAAACAAAACCAATATTGAGTTTTCACTGGAATTCAATTCAAGATGCTAGTGTTGCCTTATGAATAAAAATGAACTAGCACTAAGCTCCTGAAGTTGACAAATAAGTTGTACAAATTATCAAGAGATTATATTCAGTGATCCTCATTTCAATTTGATTAACCCTTTCACCCGTATGTAACTTTAAGTAGACTCTACCATGCATTGATATGAGTGTGTCCATTATGGTCGACAGTGGTGAAAGGGTTAAATAATTTCAAGGATCCCGCTGTCCCACCCAAGGCGAAACACGAAAGAATTCCTCTGTTCCTACGCACAGTAACCTCCCCTTAATCTCGCATTGGATAAATGCAGCGCGACAGGACAAGCATGTCAAATTCCCACCAGCCTAGCCGAGTTGGTTTGAGCGGCAGTACAATGATTAGATGTCCAGCTAAGGGTTCTAATCCTGGTTTGACCAGGCACTGCATTTTTACACTCAGAACAGTGTTGTTTATTATTTCTATTAATTTTATGAGCATATCATTTTTCATAAAAGTGAGCTCCTTATTTAGAACTAGTTTCCATAATTAATTTCTAGTAATTCCATACATTAACTTACAACACTTTTGATAAAAACAAGAGGGAGCTTACATTATTTGCTTTTTTATTTAATTTTTAAATTTTTAAGCAATTTTTTTATTTTTTTATTTTCAATTTTCAAGTAGATATGACAATAATGATTTGAAAGAGACTTATCCTATAAGCTCACAGCTTAGAAGTTATTGCAAGATAAAATTGTTCACAGAAATTAAAAATCAGCATATCTAATATCATCCGACATTCAAGAATATCTCTTTGAGAGTTTAGATTTGTCAGTCAAATTACATATAACATGTATTATTGTTTTGTCCTCTATACAATGTAACAAACTTCGTAAATGTTTACAATGAAGAAAAGGATTGAAGAAAAAAAAAATATTGAAGGAAACAAATAACATTTAAAATTAAAAGTAACGAAATAGAAACTAGAGGTGATAAAAACAATTACTGTTAAATGCTTTTATCTGTCCCCATCAGACGTTTCGCTATCTAGTTTGCTCTTCCCGAAACAGCCGTTACGACATAATGTTAAACGACTACAACACCTACACATGACATCTATAGATAAAAGCCGTGTACATCACGCTACTTTAGGGAAACAGAATTTTTAGAAGTGAAATCTCTTGAAAAATCAAATCAACATAAACCATGCCATTTTTAAACCAACATTGTATTAACTCATTCACCCCTGAAATTTCATAATGAACTATTCCAACCTTTGAATTAGAAGGGTTCAAATGTGTCTTCAGGGGTGAATGAGGTAATGATATTAAGAGATTCCGATATGAGATTTCATAAAGTGTTACGGTGACAATTTTAGGGAGTAAAATGAGTTAAAAACCTTTTAATACATTTTCATTTATCTATTTTACGATACCGCTGGGACACATGAAATGCACTGCTAAAAAAATCTTTGGTTCAAGTTAAATCTCATGTGATATATATTTTCTGTCAAATGAAATCTACGAAATGTATATTTACGACCCTCCATCTAAACATATGTCTGTGTTTTCTATAAGTTTGCTGATGTTGGCGAATCTTTTTTCATGCTTTGCCAGCAAACAAATCAACATTGTTCCAAGATAAACGTGATAGTGATAAAAAAAAAATATCAGCCTGTTTAACTGTCAGTTTTGAACTTTTTTTCATGGACACAATATCCAAAATAGAGATAATATACAAAGATTGTAATTTCATTTGAACAGCGTAAACACCTACAACCCTGTCCGGCACTTTCTAAAGGATGCCAGTTTTTTGTAATTGCAATATTGTACAACAACAGCATGTCTAACATACAGTTAAGGCTATATGCTACCTTACTGTGAAATGCATATCTTCCGCTATTCGAAGACTTGTCTCCCCTTTTTCCTGTTCAATATTCCAGTGTTACTCTCTAGCTAGTGTATGATTTCTCTGTCATCCCACTGATACGATAGACAGTACGTGAAAAGAAATGCATATCTCCCGTTATTCGTAAAGTTGTCTCCCCTTTTTCCTGACCATTATTCCTGTGTTACTCTGTAGCTAGGGTATGATTTCTCTGTCATCCCACAGATACGATAGATTGCACATGAAAAGAAATAATACTATGATGACAAGAAAACAATAACATATGACCTCACAATTGGCTTTTGATTGGATAGATCATGTTCGAATTGGGATGAAAAAAGGCTGCAAATTGTACAAATATGTAGAAGTTCCTCTACGAGAAAAAGTTTGTTATGTCAAAAAAAGCAATTTCAGTAAACATGATACTTAATGGAGCTTCCAATACAGTAAACAGCTGACACAAGAAAAAATAGAATGTCACAATGACATAAAAATAGAATGTCACAATAACATTTTTCTATTTTATTTTGCCATCCTTATCATAATTTTTATTTTAAAGACCATCTTCGCTAGCAAAGTGTTCGCTTCGTATCCAGTCCATGCACTTACCCTTGGCGGATATAGCCGTGTTTTCATAATTCCCTCTACTGCCACCTAGCGGATATAACGAGTTATTGTTGAAGGTTCGGTAAACACGGCTATATCCGCCAAGGGTAAGTGGCGTGTATACGAAGCGAACACTTGGCTAGCGAAGATGCGTAAAGACATGATTTTCAACAATGTTGCCTGCATTGAATGCTCCATTTGAAATGTTAACTGAAATTAGTTTTCTTCAAATTCGGTGAAGAAGCTTAACAAAAGATGCCCTGTCAAGTGTATAGTTTTCCGTGACAAGTATAAAATAAAACTGCCATTGTGACCGTCACAATTACGATCCATATCACGTTATTTTAGAGACTGCAAGGTTATTGAACTTTTGATATAACTCTGCCCACAATAAAGACAGTGAAGTTACACGGAGTCGGAGCAGACGACAGAATCTGTGGCATTTTACAGTTAAAATTTTGCCCACCTCAATCACACTAGTAAAGTAACACTACAAATACCAAACAATCTCTAGTATGGCAACACTATTATACCCAACAAATTCTTGTAAAGTGACATAGATTATGTGATTCTTGAATCTGATATTTTGAAATATTTCTGGTATGTACAATGGTATATATATACACCACACGGCAAAAACCAAACTCCAAAAATCGTCTATGTCTGACAATGCTTCTATCCCTTCCTGGGAAACCGTTTTCAGTGAAATTACAGTGCAAAGGTGAAAACATGATTTACCACAAATCTGACAGGCAATATCATTTAGAAACCATAGTTCATATTAGAGACAGCGAACAGTATCTATCACTAGCTTAGAACTGGCATATGTCAGACCGATTCTCATATAAACGTGACCAATTATGTGTTAGTTATGGTGTAGGCGACGTTAAGAAACCTTTGCTTGCCAGGAGATACCATAGGTCGTAGACAGCATATGTCTGTCTCTGCAGGGAATTGAGAAGGCTGTTATTAGGGATCCCCTTACCACTGCCAAAAACTGTAGCTAAGGATTGAATATTGTTTTACCAGCATGACAATATGCCTTTGATAAATCATTTTTGAAAAGATATCATATATACCTTGCAGATTTTTTTTATGAAAAAATAATAATATAAATAACACTCACAGTGTTCTGAAAGTAAAAGAACAAGGGGCCTGCCATGCATACAAACAGAATCTTTCAACCTCTTGGGGCTGAGATAGGGAAAGTTTCTTATGTCTTTCCGCAAGGGTTGAGATTTCACTATCTCACCCCCAAGGGGATGAATGATTATTTTCTCTTACCCTGTTCGCCCATTCCGTATCATGTACATAATGTAATGTTAACATTACAGGCTATATTCAGGGTTGACGTGACTTTGATGCATTGTTGAAGGGTGAGGGGGCGTAAGTGTATTGTTGTCGTGACGTCATACAATTGTAATGAATAGGGGAATCCCAGCCCCTGCGAGAGGGTATTCATGAAATCATGAATGGTCATGAACAATTCATGAACATTCATGAATACAGACAGTTTGAAATTCATGAATACTTATTCATGAATATTCATCAACCTGCTTTCATGCATTCTTCATGAACTTTTATGAATAATTAATAAATTCATAAAAATGCATGAATCTGCATGAAGTTTGTGATTATGAATTATTCATGGACTTTTATGCACAGCAAAAATTCATTAAAATTCATCAGAATTCATGAAAGGCATATCCTTGAGAAATCATGAACTTTGATGAATTTAAATGAATAATGCAAATTCATTAAAATTCATCAAA